AGAGAGAGAGAGAGAGAGAGAGAGAGAGAGAGAGAGAGAGAGAGAGAGAGAGAGAGAGAGAGAGAGAGAGAGAGAGAGAGAAAGAGAGAGACATGGACAAACAAAGTTTCAGCAACGTTCTTAGAGAAACAAGCTGAGAGTGACACCCGCATGCACAAACAAACAGTGTTCAAAAACGTTTATTAGAGAAACAAGGTCAATGGTCAATGGGTACACCCATGAATTGTTGAAATACAGACCCGAGTTCGAGTCCAGATGATGGTACATGATGAGTAAAAAAAAACAAATATTTACGAATTGCCCGGGGACGGTCAGCTCAATGCTGATATCTCAAAGGCATCGCCCTCAAAAAAAAAAAGAAAAAAAAAAAGAAAAAAAAAAGGAGCTGAAACAGACACCCACATGAACAGACACGAAGCTCAGCAACACTGTTAGCAGTTACTACAGCAGAGACTTGGAGCAAATTATCTAAGAGAAAATTAAAAAAAAATAATAATAAAAAACTGCAACAAAAAGATCCAACCGAATCGAGCCCATCATTGGGGCGCTTAAGCAGCCACACCATGAACACTCACAAACCCGATGCATTGTCATCATAAAAAAAAAAAAAACGGTCGAGGGAGGGAGTATAAGACTTGAATAGATCCTTGCACCGCCACGTCTTCTTTCTTGCACCCCAGAGTTTACCCCCCTCTCCCCAGCCCCACGCTCTCTCTCTCCGAAGGTAACTGCAACTTTTGCCTCAGGGTCATTTGAAGGTAACTGCAACTTTTGCCTCAGGGTCATTGCACAAATGACACCCAGCCAACAAGTCAAACAATTCTATTTAAAGTTTAAACAACAAATCATTAAACGGCATCGGCCTTGAGATATCATCGTCCAACTGGCCGGCCCCAGGTAAAATTCAAAAGAATTTTTATTCTGGCCATCTGATTGTATCTGGATTCGAACTTGGATCTGATTCATATTTCAACAGTTCGTTGGCTGTACCAACTGATCTAGGCTCGTTGGTCCAACAGAACAACTTGTGCCTAAGGGTCTAACCGAAATTCTTCACCAAACTGAAAATAGAAAATCAAAAATAACTTCTTCTTTTCGGTGTTTTTTTTTTCTTTTTGGCCCAGCCAGGCACGTGGTCCCGGGCCACTCTGGTGGACCGTTTCAAATGGTCCCAAAAAAAAGAAAAAGGCTATGGAGACATCAAGGCCACGTGACTGGATTGACTGCAATTGCAGAGCAGATAAATGTAGAACGGTGCAGTTAGATAGAAACCTCAGATGCAGTTCTGTATGTATGACAGCTACGCACAGATATTCACAAACACGAGAGGAGACACAGAATGATGAAAACAATATCCTATCAGGAAACAGGCTTGCTTACCTATTAAGAAAGAGGGAGGGAGGAGGGGAGAAGGGGGAGGGGAAGG